GGGCTTAGGCCGGTCCTGTAGGCCCTTCGTTGCCTCCCCTCCGGTTCTCTACGTTACTCTACAGGAGCAGTGTTAGGCCGGGACGTCACCAGCCTTTACCCCGTCTGCCACACGAGCCACTGTCCTCTAATCTAATTGAACTAAACTATGCATCGTGGTTCAGGTGAATAACTCCGCCATTTTGGAGCACACGCGGTTTTTAGCGCGCCCTTCGTGGGTTTGGAGCTAAGCTCCTGAGCCATGATGACTAACTAAGGTACCGAGTGAATCTGACTCCGCTCAAACTCCGTTCTCCTCCGACTCAACCCGTCTCCAAAAGCATCTGGTCAATTCGAACCCCATTTATTGTAAATACCGAACATAATAAAGGACTGCTAGAGAGATGACAATATAATTTCCGCGTACTACCCTATCAATACCCTAACGACAAATGACGCGCGAAACTACCTAATCCTCCACCCAAGTGCTCCTAACCTAACTAAGGGATGTCCGTGAGCCCGCGACAATCCCTGCGTGACGGGAACCTACCTCGAGCCAGGAGAGCCAGCAGCAGAAGAGTAGTCGGGCACAGCGCAGCACAGCACTTCGGCAGGCCAACACTGAGCCCCGACTCCTCCTCTCGCTGTGCTTATGTACCGGGCTCGAGGTGGAAACGCCCCCCGTTCGCCGGCCCGAGGCTAAGGCCGACCAACCGGGGCGCTTGGTTACCGTCACGCTGACCTCCACGATTTAACCCTCGACGCGGACGCGAGCACAACGGAGGAACAAACGGACGAACAACGTTCACATTAATACCTACATCCCTACAATTTCTACAAGCATACGTTTACATTAATACGAAATTCCTACATCCCTACATAAGGAACAAACGGACGAACAACGTTCACACAATTTCTACGAGCATATGTTCACATTAATACGAAATTCCTACATCCCTACAATTTCTACATTTCTACAGCATACGTTTACATTAATGCGAAATTCCAATACGAAATGCCTACATCCCTACAGTCCCCAACGCCTGGACGCGCCCCTGCCCCCGCGGCGCACGCAACCGCCGGCCCGCGTCCCCGCCGGTTCGCTGACAGGTCGCGCCCCGGGGCGCTGAGGCTCGTCATTGCTCGGCTCGGTGGATGAGGCGGGCTGGAGTGTGGTGTGGGGAGGGGGTGATATGGGGAGGGAGTGAGCGGGCGGACCTGGGGCTGGGCGTGTGTGGTCACTTGTCGCATAGAACCGATCGTATCCCCCCTCCAAAAATTCGTTTTAGATATATTCACAAAACCCATGGGGGGGGGGGCAACCACCCATCTCCCAAGTGGGGTGCCGAAGGACAGGTAAGGGTGCATACGGTCTCCTCATGAATTGCAGCAAAGAAAGAAAACAGGTCAGTCACCAAATGATCTTGATCTTTCTGAAAAGTGGACTAAACGCAAAGCCTCCCAACGAGAAATAAACATCCAGCATCCGAAGCGTTTCGAACCGGGCCCCTCACTACCGGTCAGTTTGACAGTCGCGCACTCCTACGCTGAGCTACACCGGACGGTGGCTATGGCCGGGACAAAGTCTGGCCGGGCGGGCGGCGGGGCCGGGAGGTCGGCGGCAAAGTCAATTAATGTTTTTGAGGGGTCGGGTGCCGGTCACTCTAGCTTGGTGGGATGATGATGGATCATAGGCAAAATTTACAGTGTGGAGTCCCGGTTCGAGCCTCATCAGGGCTCCGGCTCCTTTTCCGAGTTAGGATGGTTTGATTGCTATTAGTGGTTACGGTTTTATACATGTCGATTGATTGTTTGATTGATTGATTGATTGATTCATTCATTTAATGCGTGCCGACATTTAGCATACGAATTGACATCCAGTATCAATCTACCGTTTTCATAAACGTATTGCCTAAATATCATGCATAGGCACAAGACCTATGGTTGCCTCGATACCGTGCCAAATCACGTTTTGCACAATGCACAAGTAAAGTAAATTATATTCGCTGGGTCTTTCGTGCATTGTGCTTATCAAACAGGAATGCAATTGTTAAGCGACGCAAAATGTGCAATGCAGGTCCAGGAAGTGACCACACACACCCGACCAGCCCCCACGGTCGACCAACACGCCCCACACCACTCGCCAGCCCACGCCAACCACTGAGACGAGCCCCTCCCCCCCCCCCGCGCTGGTCTGACGCAACAGCTGGTCTACAAAGCGCTCCACCCGGCGACCCGAGCCGATGTCAAACGGCGTGGGTAGACTGTGCCGCATAACTTTCGGGTCATGCGGCACAGCCTATCGGTACCAGGCGGCTGCTGCCAATGCTGAGCCATAGGAACCCGGTGGATAAAGAGTAGAGGACCATCAACCTGTACACGACTGTACCCACCTGTTGTCCGCATCGTAACCCATGGCAGCGCTTTATTATTTGCTCATATTCCGTCCACATCCTAGGAGATCTCTTCGACCCACTGCTGTTGCTTCCCACCAGCCTCATTCATACCGCCCCTCAATGTGTTAGCTGCGCTAGAGCTGCGTCTCAGAGACGTAGCCAGTAGCCTTCCCATAGTGTAACTGTAAAACACTTGAATACGGCTTCCTCCTCCTCGCTAGCGGCGTGCTCGAACAGTTAGCACGGTACTGCCATTTGCCGCGCCAGGCGGCGACACGAAGCGCTCGCGTTCAACCTGTTCTCCGGCCCCTGTTCAGTGTTCACTGTTCAGTGGGCTAACGTCACCGTAGTTATTCACTCTAAACGACATGATGTGGTAGTGTTTGAAATGACAGCGATTCACCAGTAAACCCAACGAGCTGACATTATTCAAACCACGATGTGCGCCCGTTATAATGGATAGTGTATGAGAAAATTCGCAGCAATCTGTTCCACATGTATCGTTACTATAACTACAGATGTTTTGCGTGCAATAGGACGACAAAAATGTAAAAATATAACGTCATGCAATCAAGATTCAAGACAGCGATCATTTTTTTATTTCAGTAGATGCATTCGTGATACGGTGTCATTCGTCGCCATTTCCGGACGGCTTTCCACATGTCTCCGTTGGACAGGAGGCTGACTTTTAACATTCAATGCAATGTGCATTTCCAACGACTCTCGTGAAAAAAAATCGGTGGTATGTTTTTCGGGAAAGTTCTAGCCAGGGATGCGGAGCCGTGGAAATTTCAGACGGCTCCGGCTCCGGCTCCGGCTCCGGAGAAAAAAATCGGCTCCGGCTCCGGCTCCGGCTCCGGGTGAAATGTAATGGCGGCTCCGGCTCCGGCTCCGGCTCCGAGTAAAATGGTCCGGCTCCGGCGGCTCCGGCTCCGGCGACTCCGGCTCCGACTCAGTACATCCCCTATGCAATCAATTAAATACGGGTGGAAGAAAAATTGGATTGGTTATACGCGTTACTCTTTGCCATGACCGGCTCATGACCGCGTCCCCGCGCAAACGCACCTGGGAGAGAACTGGCAGAACAAAGGACTAGGAAGCGATGGCATTGGAAACGCAGTCGCCGCGAATCGGAGTTCACTGAACCATCGTAAGCTGACACCCGTCTCGGCAGAGACGGTGCTGGGAGTCGCAGTCCACTGCACTGGCTTGAAAACAATGGCCGTCACCTGATGACCGGTCCTCATGTTCTGGGGATGCAGTAGACGTGGGGGGGGGGGGGGAAGGAGCAGACAGGAAGTTGATTGCGTACTGTGGGATACTGGGGATATTCGGCTTTTTTCATTCACTTGATGGCCCATGACGTAAGTACATACCATATGTTTCACTGCCTTGTACTGTCAAACCGAACTAGGTCAATTATTTTTTTCCTCTTCAAAAAATAAAAAGGAGCCGGAGTCGCCCCCTTTTTTGGCGGCTCCGGCTCCGGCTCCGGCTCCGGTCTATATTGTTTCACGGCTCCGGCTCCGGCTCCGGCTCCGGGCAAAATATGCCGGCTCCGGCGGCTCCGGCTCCGACTCCGGCTCCGGCTCCGCATCCCTGGTTCTAGCCGCCATACTTCCACCGTCAATAAGTTTTTTTTTTTTTGCAATAGCACAGCTGGGAGGGTTCCATCGGAAAATACATGGCTGAGAAGTGAGAATGTTTCGCATTCTTTTCATTCACGAGCGACAATGTCTGCTTCAAACGAAGACCTACATCACATTTTTAGCCCGCCAGTGACAAAAGCTATGCCTATCCCACGCATCTCCCTCGTTACTGCAGTGAAACACGTCCCAGGAAAACCACATCCACGGTCTCCACGCCGCCTCCGACAGCCCGTGAACGATCACGACTGTGTCGCTACCGTGGTGCCGAATTTTCACGGCGAACCTCTGCTTTCCGTGGCGGTCACGGCTCGGCGGACACGCCCACCGTTAGTTTGACCAGGGAGTGGGTGTCCATCCGTCCGTCAGCACGCACCACACAACTCCCCAAAACGACACCTCACCGGCGAGGTGGCGTGGGGACTGCGACAGTAGGGGAATGCACAGGGGAAATGTTTCGGCCGGGTTCACATCATCGTGTGGTGAGACTGAGTGCCAGTTATGCCGGAACGCATGCAGCTGACCCTGATGGCATGTCCTCGACAGCCAAACTAGTGCCAAATATCAAAGTACAGTCACGCATACGGAAGCTTCGATTTTTACATTGCACCACGTCAAATGAAATAAGTAATTCAGGTGTCAACTTGAGCTGTTCTTGCTATCTTTATCGAATATGATGAGGTATGGCCTGTCATTACCCCACTTCATACTTTCTGTATACAAAACGACCTTCTAATGAATCAGCAAAGAACAGGACCAAAGTCCACTTTCCGCTGAGTTTTTTTCATCCTCCCGTCTTCCTTGGAGCGGGTTTGTATCGTTTATCCTCCCGTTTGGGGCCCCTCCACTGTGGTCGTCGTTCGCCCACCACCGCGGCTCGGACCGGCCGGGCGGAACGACCAGCTACCGCCCGAGGCGGCGGCAGCGGTGACGGCGGCGGTGTGGCGGCGGCGGTGGCTGCGGCGGTGGTGTGGCGGGCAGTGGGCTGTGGAGGCTCGGCCAGTGAGGACGGGGCCGACGGAGAACACTGATACCGAGAGGAGAGTGAAGAGAAGTTTGGACGGACCGCCATCTGTGCAGAGCAGGTGAGCAGGGATGTGTAAGATTGAGAGGGTTTGCTATGTGAATTGCCAGTCGGCAATGCCAATTTTGATATCGTTTGAACGACAATAGTGTCTGAAAGTTACGAGCTGAGTTAAAATATGCGATGTTCGTCAGGGCAGCAGCGTCCAATCCTAAGACCGGTCACGAACTCGCCTACATCGATCAGCCCGGCCACGCCACAGAGCTAAAACCGCAGAACCGTACAGCAGGACCGTGCGCCGATTGGTAGACGGAATAACCGCAGCTGTGCTACAAAATATATTGACCACCATGCTGCAAGCTGTAACTCATCGCATCGAAAGCTTTCAATACATACTATCCCACAGCTTCGAACCCCCACCCCTCCCAACACCCACATACCCAGGGCACAAGCCCACTCAGCGACTATCACAGCACAACTCCTCTCCCCTCCCCCTCCCCCCGCAGCGTCGACCGTGGGAGCGCAGGGGTCACCGGCGGATCCATCCGGGGTCACTCCGACCTCCTGAGCCGACAGCGGCCGGGCGCGGGCGTTCACCCGCAGATGAACTATTAGCAGAGCTGGATGACTGTCGGTAGCACGTTGTAGTCGGCTCATGGGGCCGTCGGACGGGTTGGCTGCAGAGCGGGGATCAAGGCGGTAGGCTGAGAGCGGCGCAGTACTTCGCTAGCTACTTGATGTCATGCCGGTTTTTATCACGTGTATGGTGTACGACATAAGAGGAAAACTGTTGTGGTTGGGCCTGTACCTACTGAACACCTGAAAAGGACATCAAAGGACTTTCTTTGTATTGGCTTGATGCGGCTTCAATGCCCGTAGCCTCGTAGTGGTGATACTGACATATACGTAGTTGCAGTCTCCATCCGTCTATTTTTGTTCTGTGAACATGCGATGAATTCTTGGCCTATCATTCGCAGAAAATGTGTGCGTGCGGTACCTCCAAACAACCTCTTCTTGATGTGACTATCCATCATGTTTATAGTGGTCTCCCCGCAATCTGCCCTGCCGTCTCAGTCGGTAGATTATCACCCACGCCCGGTACTTTCTCTGAACCCCGGCCATTGACGGTGACGTATGGTGTTTTGGTCTTGGCTTGGTGGCAGGAAACTAGCCACAGCCTCATTCGTAACACCTGAGCACTGACGGTGTGACAGCTTTCTTCAAAACTGCATGCATCCCTCGACATTTATGAGTTATTTGTTTTTCATCTCGTTCAGGTATGTGTAACCTATGCGCAACTACAACTGCCGGCCTGAAATGTTCTGAACGTCTCAAGCATGATGCACTGATAAATCGCCTAATACTCGTAAGATCAAAACGTTTATAGGTTTCATTTCCAATGACGGTTTGGTTTCTTTAAATTAGATGAAAAAATACACTGAAAGCAATGTCAGCAAGCAATTCAATCCGTCAGTTCATAATTTACATCAATCTGACATTTCAGCACAACTTAGGAAGCATTGCATAAATTACCAGCTTTGTTGTTAAAAACTCGCTTTAAGTATGATGCTCATTTCGAAGAAGCAATATCTGTCGTGAAACACAGGACAGCGACTAGCGAGTGTCCTGGCCCTACACAGCGCGCCCGACAGCCGGCTACAGGAAGGTCATTCGCGGTCGTAGACGTCATTTCCTTTACCGGTAGTTTTGCTGAGACAACCAGACCAGGAAGGTGACGATATTTTACCAGGAATGTTGGGGCATGGCATGGAACTTTTCATTAGATATGACCAGCGAAGCTAAGCTTTTTTATATTTTGGGAGATGGAGCTGAGATGATAATTACGTAATTAGTAAGTTACGCACGTCTTTTGAATAAGTTGGAAATGAAAAGGAAAAGGAAAGGACTTGAGTTGTCCGAGGTAGGTATAAAATAGAAAGTAAGAGGAAATGATCCTAAGGATTGAATTCGTCCAGCTAGTGTTCAACTTATGTTTAATCGAATGATTTTTTTAATGAGTGTCAAATAAGAAGAGCTCAAGAACTGATTTGCATTTTCTGTACCTACAATATCGATCCATAATAAATTATTGCTGAGTGCTGGGTGACACTTAAACATGGATACGCCTCTGCACGACAATCCAGTCAGCGCCGACCCGAGGAGTGATTTACTGACCCATGACAAGCCATGACCAGCATGTTTCGGCGGATCGACTGGTATGGTCCGGTTCTAGGAAACGGTGGTTGTTGTACTGGGATTATGCGTCGCAGTGGACTCCGGTTCAGTGAACTTCCCTGAACACGCCTCGAGTGTTGAGCTCAGAAGCACGTTACGACGTCACAGAGGTCAGCGGCACCTCACTTCGACGTGTGAAGAGATCGTGTTAGGCATCGGCGTGGGGTTCGTATTATACAGAAGTGTGATAGCACACAGAAGTCTCACTGAAGCGTTACAATTGTTTCAAGCTGCTGGGTGTCACGGTCTACCGCCGATGCATGCAGAACGATCAACACCACATGTTAGCATCAGCAAGAGGGTGCAAATTAACAGTATCAGAACTGGTGACCTATAGGACTCGTCTAGAGGTCATCGAAATTTGGGCCAGAGGACCGAAATTGCAGTTGATAAAAGAACAGGGCGTCCTGAAGTCAAACCAGAGGTCTTACCAACGGTCATTTGCCGACAGGAAGAGGAAACGGCAATGACATTGTCAATGTAGAGAGTAGCTTATCCATTAGTAAAGGCGACGTGGTGTCTATGAAACATTTTCTTCACAGTTCACACAATATAAATTTCAACTTAAATGACATTATCTTTGAAGTTTATCGTGTGAACTGTCATAATCTGCAGCGCCAATCTCCGAGTAAGCTTGTCGCATACATCGCCGAGTCACTCATGTCCATTGCATGGATCCTTCCACGGGGATCCATGGACTGGAAAATCCTGCAGTCATCACTGGCTCCTACAGGGTGTCCCATAAGTTCCTTCTCACCTAAATTTTTCTTTAAAGGCCGGAACACAGCACTCGCTTGCAAATCGCGTCGAAATCGCGTCAAGCGCGGAAATCGCTTCGTCCGCTGTGTTTTCACTTGCAATTCAGCTCACAACCCGCGTCGAAAACGCGTCCCGCTTGGAAAACGCTTTGCGCTCCCAAATCGCGGCTGAAACGCGTTGATTTTTGATTGCACTTGACCTTTGCACGTGACATCTTAGCATATCAATGCGTCTGTTTCATGACAAAATTTTATGCGGCGTTCTTTCGATGAAAATTTTTTAGGTTTGATATTTTAAATGACCTTCTCCTCGATCATTGATTAAAATCAGCACAGGTTAAAAGTTACTTTCTTTTGAAGGAAATTCCTTAAAAACAGTTGATGCCATGCCACACAGGTAGTTCATCATGTCACATTTGGAACCTAACTATAATTTGTTCAGTCAATTTTATTTTAGTCAGCATTTGTTTGCCACGTATTATGGTCACAATCGGTTGTTCAGAAGTTTTTCAAACGAATACAACACCGCTCTTGCAAATCTAACAACTGTTATCGTTCAATCTTATCTAGCAATTCATTCAATCTAATAATCCAACGATTACCATCCGTAAGTAAACTACATGTTTCTCCCTTTGCGTTATGCAAATCACAGGATATACTTAACCCTCGCCCGCACATGCCATTTTCCCATCTTAGAACGCACATGGGGGGGGGGCGTGCCATTCCCCCGCGCCATTTCGTTCCTGTTGGAGATAGATCTTTGCGGTAGAGACCAAAAAGATTCTTTGGGAAGAGACAAATCCAATACTGACGAAGGCACCCTGAGGCCGAAACGTCTGGCTATTTAGAATATTTGTTTTTGTGTTGTCATCGAAAGTGAATAAATATCATCATCATTCCCAGTTTTACCTTCTCAGGTCAGTCGTTGACCTTCCAGGTCAGGTCAAACTAAAAAATGTTGTTGTTTCGGGTTACCGCTGGATATTAAAGGGACCCTCCCACCTTCAAAAAAGTTAATGAATTGGCACGAAAGTGATGTCGCTCGGTTCAGAAAGAGCGAAAACGAATATCTACCAAATTTCATCGAAAAATATTCACCGGTTTTCAAGATATTAGACTTTTACTTTTGTTTACTTTTTGGGATCTCCGCTGTTCCTAGCGACTTTATTTGAAAGTGCGGCATTTGTTGCGCGCAAAGCAGCATATACCACCGCGTGCTACCAAACGTTTTAGTAAAAGATTTAAAAATCGTTAGATCTCCGCTGACGTCACAAATTCTAAGGGGGCATACCAATGCACTAGCCCCTTAGAATCCGAAAACTGCAAGTTTGAAATTCCATATCTCCGAATTAAAGCATTTGTCGATGTTGTGAGTGCCCAAACCGGTATTTGCAGGCCATGGCCACCAATTTGGCTATCTCAACTCAAAACTAATGTAAAGGTGGGAGTGTCCCTTTAAGTGCGCTGCTCATCATATACGTACCGATGACGATGCCGTTTTGTGGTGCCAAGCCAGCTAGAACCTCTTTGTCACACTATCCGACCAGGTTTTTGCTGCTGAGGTCATTTCAGGTCAAGTTAGGTCAAGGTCAATGATATGTGTTTGCATGTCTGTGAGTGTATGTGTGTATACTGATGTGTGCACCGATTGTTATGTGTCCATATTACATGAGATCATGAAATGAGAAGGTTTTACCAAAAATACAGTCAAAGAAACTTCACGAAAAGTAAATTCATCTTGCCTAAATCGCAATGATTTTAGATGATGTAGGGGTGGAGAGTCGAGCCCGGTCCTGTGGGTCTGTCGCTATCTCCCCCTTTATCAGCTACTTTACTCTATAAATGACAAGTGGTTGGCTGGGACGTCTCCCTTGTGCCGTTAACCCGTCTACCACCCGGGCCACTGTCATTCTACATGTGCATCTACGGTGGGGCCGTTTACTCGAGTGGTTCAGTGGTGAATGCTCACCATTTGGTAGCCACGCGGTGGGTAGCGTGCCGATGGGTATACTAATCTAATGAGCACCAAACCCTTAAAGGGACACTCCCACCTTAACATTAGTTTTGA